GCTTTTTCTGCTTATGTGGTGCTGAGGAATCGAACCCAGGGCCTCATGCATGCAAGGCAAGCGCTCTACCACTGAGCCACCTTCCCAGTCCCTGCATTTTGATTTTTGAAAATTCATTTAAAAATTCTACCTTGAAAAAATTAACATGTTAATTTAATCCATGCTATATAAGCTACACTAAAATCTAATACAGTACATAATTTTTCAAAATATCAACTTTAGCTGGATATAGTGGCACATGCCTATAATCCTAACACTCAGGAGGCTGAGGCAGGAGGACAGTTTGAAGTCAGCCTGGATTACATAATAAGATCCTGTCTCAAAAGAGATCCCTCAAATTAATTAAAGTCTAATTATTGTCTAAGTGGCTGTTCAACTTAAATTTGAATATGTTTATTGGTAAGAAGCTTATCGAAGTACAAGGTATCTTTATCTTTGGATAGATTTCTCAGAATGTGAGCAAAACTCTGCTTACCAAGTTTTCTTTTCTGGATCACAGAAAATATTTTACCTTTTGCTTTTATATGAAAGCCATTCAGATGTCTAAGATATTCTTTTCCTTCAAAACAGTTAAGCCAGTAATATGTATCCAATGGAATCTAAGGTGTACTTTCACTGTAGCAACTAGTGAGGCTCCAATTTATTTTTGTGTGCGTGTGCCAGGAAATGGGGCTTGACCTGGGGCCTCATACTCTCCTTTTAGTTTTTCACTTATGGCTGGTGCTTCCTTGTTTAAGCTCCTCCTTCACTTCTAGTTTTATACTGGTTAATTGGAGATAAGAGTCTGACAGATTTGTTTGTCTGAGCTGACTTTGAATTACGATCTTCAGATCTCGGTCTCCTGAGTAACTAGGCTGACAGGTGTGAGGCACCAGTACCTGGTTGAGGCAGCTATCTATGAGTACAATTACATAATACAAACTGAGTAGCACTCCACCGCTGAAAACAATTACTCAGTCTCCCAATTGTAAGCGACCAATGTGTAGAAAGTATGCCTTCTTACAAAAACAATTTTTCTCTTCTAATAGCATAATTTAATAATGGTTTCCTGCTGGCCTTGGTAACCCAGAAAGTATTCTTTGCACAACAAAGATTCTTACAGTTCTTGCTTCTTACAAACAAGAAATTTAGTTTAATAAAACATAGAAAAAAACACCAGCCAAAATGTTTACTGCGCCTCTTCAAAATTAACAGGTACTCTGGAATTGGCCTTGCTCTGTCACCCAGCCTGGCCTTAAGCTCATCACAATGAGCTTCTGTCTCCTCCCAAATACCCCTTATCATGATGAAAACGGATCTTGATGGGGGATAGAAGACCAACTTTAGCCGTACTCAGGAGGACTTGAGCATTCCCTCTGCCTTGCTCCCTATTTCTGTCCTCAGAAAAGCACAGCAAAATCAACCACAAATACGATAAACTTGAAATACTTTTTTTTTAAAAAAAACAAAACAAAGTACACAAACTAAAACAGTCTCTCAATATAAAGTTGGCTCTAGAATTGATTTATCAGCATTTCTTACTGCAGAGTGAGACTGGTGAGCTCTGAGGACTGGTCCTGTATCCACTGCTTTTTTAGCAACCATTAACTGTAGCATCTGCTTCCGGTACTTGCTCATGATAAGCTCTAAAGCATCCTGGTGTTCCTCCAGGGAAATCCACAGCTCTGACAAAATAATAAAGCACAATGGTAGTGATGTCTGCAAGAGGGCTCACACAGCCAAGCATGCTAGGAACACTCCCAGCTTCCAAACTAAACAGTTGGGAATTTTATGAAATCACATGAGTTACTTTTAATTCACAGCAACAAGTCAGAATTTAAGTCCACAACAATAAACAAGCCTATATAAAAAAATAACATTTTAGGAGAGGCAGCCTAGTTAGAACACTCATAAGCAACTGATCGTTTAATTTTCTCCAATCCTGTTTTTCTTTTCCAGTGTTGGAGACTGAATCAGGGCCTCATTCTTGCTAGGCAAGTGCTGTGCTACTGAGCTGCATCCCAGCGCTGATCCTATTTCTCACCCGCATTGTGTAAATACTTGCTTTGTCTACCTTGAAATGAAGACACAAGAACCTAAGCAGAAACTTAGTGGAATGATAGATGTGAAAGCTGTAAGCGGATGTACAACTATTAAATCATTATCAGCTCTAAGAATATATATCTGAGAACACAATTCTGCTTTTCCATCTTGCAAAAGACTGCATAAAACTTTTAATCTTAACTACAATTTGTATTCTAGTATTTAAATTCTGAGTCTTTGAGAATAGGAACTCTTGTTATGCAAGCCTCCACCTTAAAAAAAGAAATTCATCCAGCTGGGTGTCCATGCTTTACACTTGTATTCATGGCTACTCAGGAGGCTGATATTTGAACCATGGTTCCAGGCCAGGAGGAAAGACCATGAGACTCTTTATCTTCAACTAAGCACAAAGAAGATGGGAACTGGAGCTGTGGCTCAAAATGATAGAGCACTAGCCTGGAGCTGAAAAGCTCAGGGGCAGAGCTGGGGCCCTTAGTTCAAGCCCAGGCCTGGCATGCATGCATATATGCATACTAAGCCATATGGGATGTGTGTGAATGCAAAGCAGTCAGATAATCGTAACAGTGACAGACATAGTTATTGAAATGCATATAAAATGCATTAATCATAAAATGCACATTTGCGAACTGTTTAGGCAGGTTTTTTTTTTTTTTTTGGGTCCAGTCGTGGGGCCTGAACTCTGGGCCTGGGCGCTGTCCTTCAGCTCTTCAGCTCAAGGCTAGCGTTCTACCCTTGAGCCACAG